AGCTGCGCAGTCAGTCACCACCATCCCCCAGGTGGTGCTTCACTATAGGGAACCAGGAAGTCAGGGTGTAACTGTTTTCCTCCTCTGTAAGAAAGGTTCAAGGTCCTGTAAACTTGTCATCTCGTGCTCTCTCCCTTTTGACACAACCCATATAAGAGCAAATACCACTTGTATGCAGCCAGCTACCTGGCAGTTTTCACAGAGAACTAAACACACACCAGTTTCTACGCAACTGTGAGATATTGTTCCCATTTTACAGTCGAGAAGAGCGAGGCTCAGAGAGATTCAATGATCATTCAGATGTGTCAGAGGTACTGAGGGCCAGTTTAGGACCCTATGTGTCCTCTTATTTGTTTTTTGTTTTTTCTTTTTTAACATCACCACTGCTTCAAAGTGCCTTATGGGGACGAGGCTAGAAACATGTCTAACTTGTTAGCACTTAATGTCAGAGAAAAGCAAGCAAGCAAAAACCCTTCATGCTATTTCAATACCCCCTTTCACCCAAGCAAGGATGGTTCCCCTCCTTCTGGAGTGATTCTCCTGGAGCCTGAGGGGATCTGAAAGATAGACCGGCTTCCCCAGGTTCTAGTAGGTGTTAGTTAAGTGTGTAGCAGTAGTAGAAGGTCTGGCTTTCAGGAAGGGGCCTGACTCAGATTCACAGCAGCCACCTGGAGAGATGGCTTTGCAGGGGACAGAGCTCGGCAGGTCAGCTGAGCCGTGGGTGATCCCCTGGCCAGTCACGGATGGCCACTGTCTTGGTCCACTCATCCAGGGGTACGACAGGGAGCCCCTTACCGAAGGGAAGTGAGGAAAAGATGGAAGTGGGTGTGTCATCAAGAAAACTGGCCTTGCTTCAAGAGGGTTGTTGGGATGGCTGCCAGGCCCAGGGGCCGCGGGAGAGAGGCAGGGCAACATGCGCAGTGGCCCCTGACAGGGCAGAGATGAACAGTAGATGCTCTAATGTCCACTGGCGACCCGGTACCAGGCCTCACTCCCTAAATAGATGTCTCCATCCCCAAATCTGTAACTCCCTCTTCTGAACACAGTCTCCCCTGGACTGTGGCCTGACACAAAAATGGCAGCTCAGGCCTTCTCCCTGACTAAGTGGCCTGTTCAAGGCAAGGGAGACATGGCTGGAACCCTCTGCAGTGGGAGGGTGACTTTGCCCAAGCACAGGCCGTATGGCCGGCAGCTGCCCCTCTGGGTCCCTGAGCCCACCGGCAGGGGGCAGGGACCCCCAGAAGGCCCACCACCTGCAAAGGCCCCGGCGAATCACGGGGAGACACCACACGCATCTGGTCTTCTGACACCCCAAAATGCCCTCACATGTTAAAGCTCAAATCAAACATGTGAAGGGAAACTGGTCATATGGAAAAATTCAGAATTGTAACATAAACAAACATCCCTTAATTGATCCATTTTATGTATCCAGGGTTTTGTGAATCATATGTTCTTAGAATGATACACATCTTGGTTCTTTAAACTGTAAAAGAAAGATTGGGTTTTTCTTATTTAAAAAAAGCTATTCTTTAATTTTTTTTTCCAAAGCCTAACTATGAACCACTGGCAGTTGGGGTGGAGGCGTGGGCGGAATATTGCTAAGAGTGTGTTTCTGGTCAGTGATTGAAGGAGGGGTGGAAGGGAGCCCAGACCTCGCCTTGCAGGCTGTGTGTATGTGCGTGTGTGTGTGTACATATGTAGGTACATGAGTGTATGCCAACGTGTGAGTGTGTGAGTGTACTGCATGAATGTGTATGTTTGCGTGTGTGAATGTGTTTGTGTATATGTGTGTGAATGTATATCTACACGTTTGGACATGTGTGAAAGTGCTGTGGCCGTGTGGTCACTGTGTGTATATGTGAATGTGTGTCTCTGTGACTGTGAGTGTATGAGAGTACGTCTGTGTGTATGTATGTGAGTGTTCATGTATGTAGTATGTGCACGAGTGTCTGTCTGTCCGTCTGGACAGGAGGGCTTGGGCATACATTGAATTCCTGGGGATAGTCCTGTTGATCACAGGAGACCTACTGAGAACTCTGGTCTCTGAAAGTTCTTTCCTGAGCTAAATTCTATCGTTCCATCCCTACTTGCTGGACCGTGTCCAGAAAGTACAACTCTGTGACACATATTCTTTTTCAGCCTACATTTGGAGATTCTATGTTCAGAAGTAAAGCGAATTTTTTTCTGAATTGTCCAGCCTCTTGGGCAACTAAAAGCAAGAACGGAATCCCCTGAGCCTGAGAACCTTCCCACGATCAGCCTCAAAGGAGTGCTGCGCTCACAACTTGTATTTGCATTCTGCATGGTATGTTTGGAAGAACAAATGCATGTCGTTTGGAAAAAACCCACACCTAATAAAGACTTTAAGCTAGCTGAACAGCCCTGGGATATTTCCCACCTTCCCACATATGAATAGGTTTTTAGGGGCCTCTGAAGGGGGTGTGCAGGGCAGGGCCCCCGGGAGGGGAAGGCTGCCAGGAACCAGCCGATTTCCTACAAATACACTTAAAAATGGAACAGTCCGCAGGGCTTCTATTTCAGCCACCTGGACAAGGAAAGGTCACACGTGTTTTTTCAGACCTCTTTAAGGCTCCATTAGAATGTCTTTGTGGGTCACGATTCAAATACAGATAATCTCGAATTCAACTACTGATTATCTCTGGTTCAAAGTTGCTCTTGCCATTTTAAAGGAAGCTCATTCCCGTTCATTTTATTTCTTTAAGTCTCAGTGGGGTCCCCCTTCTAAAGTTCCTGTAAGTATTAACTCCTATCCCATCCTACCTTTTTAAAAGAGAATTATAGTACAGGACTATCCCTAGGTTGGTGTGGATCAGGGTCATTTTAGTGATATGTGTCCTGGGGCAAATCTTATCCTGGGACTTACCCCACACCTTTTCCCATCAGGCAGGGGATCAGGTGAAACGACACACACACACACACACACACACACACACGCACACACACACACACACACACAAAACATCTCAGTGGAGAATGCAAAGTAAAAAAAAGAAAAATCAAAGATATTGGTTCCATGTAAACATTTTTATAATTCATTTAATTTTTAAGGCATCACGGAGTTTATGGAGATTACTTGAACCTCTAAAAATACAAAGTTTGCACTAGTAACATCGGGTAGTTAATTCATTTACTAAGTTTAAATGTAACACGGTAAAACTCACCTTAAAAATCTGACTCCTAAACAGATGTGAAACAGGAATCATGGTGGCACACGCTAGACACAACCTCCAAAAATACATGGCTAACAAAGCAAGTGGAGGGCTGGGGCCGGCCGCCCCCGGTAAAACCGTAGCACCCAGCAAGAGGGGAGCGAAAGTGGCCACCATCTCAAGGGCTTTGTTTCTCTCACTAGACATCTTTCACTAAATCCCAGAATGGTTACTGTTAATGCATTTTCCTCTCTTCCAAATGAATCGCGCGGTGAGCAGGTGTATGTATTTTTTTTTCTAACGAGCGTTTAACATCAACCACATGCTGTCACCTACTGGACAAGCAGGTCTTCCGGAAGGTGTGTACAAATGTCAAAGGGACACAGCCTGGCAGATAACACTCAAACCCAATGAGTCTTGATGAGTGTGGAAAACAGCCTCCCATTCTGTGCTCCAAGGCCTGATTAGGAGCCGGGCCCCAGCCCACAGGGAGCTGCGCCTGAGGGGCTGGCTCACGGATGGGGCAGGGCAAGTCACAGATGAACCAGAAACTCTTTTGACTCAGCAGTTTCCACTTCCTCCCCAGCATGACCAAGAGGAGTCGCCATGAATCTAATCTCTCTGGATTTTCCTTGCTTGACCTCGAAATGACACTAGAGAGAGCAGAGAAGCAAGCAGATCCGGGCTAGCCCTACACGGCATCATGGCCGAAGAGCCACAGTGTTGTTATGTCTTGGAGAGAGCGGCCATCAGAAGGGATCAAGGTGTGCTTTGTCCACATTTCAACACAGGGCACGGAGATTCTGCAACACACAGCTGATGTCAAGTCCTCCTGAAGGCATGGTCTCTATGAGATGGGGGGAGGAAGAGAAGGCCCCCGACAGGCACCCTCCTCCATCCCCTCCCTGGAACCAGGGGCAGTGGCATCACGGAGGCAGGAACAAGGCAGGTGGGGACCCTCCATGGCTTCCGGTCCCTGCTTGTCCCTGCAAGTCCCTGTGGGTCTGTGACCCTACAGTTCTCCATCCCTGTGAAACTTGGCCACAAGCGCCCTCTTGAGCTCTGCATTGCTGAATCTGTTGTTTTAGGTCCTCTATGGCTGACCATCAAAGCGTTACCAAGGGTCCCCTCACCGGTCCTTGAAAATAAACTAACACAATACCACGGAGGCATGAAATTATGTGCGGTGTGAATGTGTGTGTGAGAAAGAGAGAGTCTGAGGATTTGGAAGATGTTCACCAATAAGTTATCAGTAGTTATCTAAGTGTAGTGAAAGTTTAGGTGATTTTTTTCTTTCTTCTTTATACCCTCTGACATTGTTTTAAAATATTAAAATAAGCGTGTAATTTGTAATTACAAAAACAAAGTTTTCGTTCTGAAAAAAATCAAACTACTATTTTAGAGCAGAAAAAAATAGGCTATGCATGATTAAAAACTATCAGAGACAGATACAATTTTTTAAATAAAGGCGGAATTGAACCGAACCTTGTTTGCTTTGAAACTTAAACTGCAAAACACATGCCCTAAATATTGTGGATTACAAATACTTAGGGCATGTGTTGCAGGTCCCAGAATCTTAAAGACATAAATGAATATAAACTGGATAATCGGCGTGTATAACAACAGATACTGGTACTATTCAGATACACAAGTTGACAAATTACAAGACTATGTATCATTTGGTGTTGAGTGGATCACGCTATGGCCTGTGCACTGTTAAAATATGGGCATTGTTTTGCAAAGGATGGTTATTGGGAGGGAAACACAAAGGACACACTCTTTTCATAGTCTAGCTCATACGACTGAGATAAGACAGAAAACACCCCGACTTCACTTCATTCTTTTTGCAACATCCGAATATGCATGTTCTATCTCCTGGTTGGCCGGACACGTGTTTGTGAACTCATCCCTAGCATACGCATTGTTCAAGTATCTCCAGATGCCAGTCATTTCAGAAGGAAATTCAAAATCTCTGTATCTCTTGGCCACGATCTGAAAATGAAGAAGAAATAGTCAGAAAGGGACAACCCACTAACATAGGCAGTTAGATCAGACAATCCATCCTTTTGATGCGTGTAATGTATTCTGCTTCTCAAGTTGCCATGTCATCCTATAGCCATTTGGGCTGCTCTGAGTTGCATTTTGAGTTTGCACGGGGCATACTGAACGTGGGACTCAAAACAGGGGCTCTACACAACCGTGCCCACCAATTTATCACAGACAATCCTTGTGATGCACTGGCATGAATTTGCTCCGTACTCCAGTGGATTTCTCTTTGTGTTGCTGGAAGTTTTCTCTCCCTGTGCTCTGCTGCTGTGTTATTTGGTGCCTGAGGTTCATGTTGGATCTTCAGTTTAGATTGTGCCAGGAATCTGTGAAGTGCCCTATCTTTTTCCTATTTGCTGAGCCTCACCTCCTGAAATCCCAAATACCTGTGTATGTTACTCCTGTGGATTTCTATCATTCTGCCCCTGACAGGATCATTTCACTGTGGGTCTACCGTGTGCAAAAAGTCCTTATTCTTATTCTTGTGGAAATAGTGGATGTACGGCCTGTTCCAGGTCCCTCCCCCAGGTTCTGGCTTGTGGGAGCACAGCTCCAAACTTCACGTGGCGTTTTCCCTGTGCTGGTGTGTCTGTGTCCAAATTCCCTTTTATAAGGACACCAGTCATGTTGGGTTAGGGGGCCCATCCTACTCACCCTAACTAATAACATCTGCAAAGACCTTATTTCCAAATAAGGTCACGTTCTGAAGTACTGGGAGTTAGGACTTGAACATATAAATTTGGGGGGACATGATTCATCCCATAACAAGGACCCAGGGTTACAACGGCCCGTTCTGCTTTGTTCCCTTCCATTGTATTGGCTCCTGGGACGTTTGGATGGTGTGAGCATGGAATGTATCACCAATTAGAAGATCTTTGGGACTTATTTCTCAGATTTCGGAGGCCAGGAGTTATTGATGCAGTAAAACAAGACCACAGAACTTTCAGAGAGCCTCCTAAATTAACATCTTTTGCTTGAATTCAAACTTACTGATGTTGATGTCAAGAATTCTGCTTTCCTTTTGTTTGCATTTGCCTGGCTTAGCTTTGCCCCTCCTTTTATTTTAGCATTTCTGAGTAAGTTTGTTATCTATATGCCTTTCGTAGACGTAAGCTTGTATTTGTATTATATCTCATGAATGTAATACTTTGTTTTCCAACTTTCTGTGAATATTTTTGTGTTCATGTGTGTGTATGTGTTTCCCTTCCTGGTGGTTTAGAAGGTTTATGGTCTGTTTTAACTCTTCCAGTGGTTTCTTATATAACTTTAAATAATAAGAATTCTTTATTTCTTGATTTATCAATTTTAGGTGATCTCTACTTACTCCTGATAATGACAAATGAGGAAATTAGTATACCTACACTTCTTTTCTTTTCTGCTCCCTTACCCTCCTTCCAATGGTGTAAAACATTCAAGTTTACTATATTCTGTTTCTTTCCAGTAGCTAGAATTCCCACTGCTGTTTAGACTTAGTTCTGGTTTTAGACTTAAATAGGTTCTATGTTTAGCATCAATCCTTCTATACCACACACCTTCTCTGTTCCTGGATTCTTATTTTATTATCATTTTTTATTATTTCATCACATAGCAATTTTATTTTTAAAAATGGCTCAGGAGTGCTTATTTCATTGAGACCAGAAGTCTAGGTAAAAACAACAATTTACAAGGATATAAAATTCTTACATCACACATCCTTTCTTCTAATCCTTTAACTATTAAACCACTGTTTCCTGGGTTTTAATGTGGTCCTAGAGACATATGAGGCTAGTCTGAATTCCCTCCTTGTGTAGGTGGCTTTATCTTTTATTACTGTTATTACTATTATTATTATTATTACCATCATCACCATTATTATCATCACCATCATCTAGACACCCAAAGGGTTCTTTTTTATCCTCAAAGTTCAGTAATTTACCAAATATGTGATAGTGTGTTGATTTGTTCTGGGCAATATTTTTCTAATCATGACACGTTAAACTAAAGGTTCAGGTCATCTTTTAGTTCAAAATAATTTACCTTTGAGCCTTCTTTTTCTCTCTTTTTTCTTTCCTGTTCTCTTTTTTCTGATTATGGGGTCTCGCTAATTACCCTTTACCTCGTGCTTCTTCTCCATCTGATTTGGGATAATTTTCTCAGTCCCATCCTCCGATGTCTGATGAATTTCTGCAATGTCTTTTTCCACTTCTTGCTACACCTAACATCACTTTTGTTCTGAAATTATTTTCTTTAAGGATGTTTTTTAGTTCTACCATCTTAATTCTCATCTTCCTTGTGACATTATATTTTTTGGTATCTTGTGACTTGTCTTTGAGCGTTTTCACCAAAGGTTCTCCTTCATTTTTTTGAGGCCACAGAGAAGTATCTGTCTGAAAAATTCTTTGGTTTACTGGAGCAATCTTTATCAGATACATGCTTCTCATCTGCCTTTTCCTCTTTTGTTCTTTTTTTAACCTTTCCCCCCTCCTTTTGGATCATCTCTGTCCACATAGAAATCCCACTTGGATTCTTTCTGGTTATTAACCATCTTTTAATGGGCGGATCTATTAGACCTACCATTTGTTTAAAAACAGTGTGGTGGACAAAGGGAGTGGGGCAGGGCAGCAGGTAGACCAATATGGATTTTACCCTCAAACACCCGCTCATCAAACACTGCTCTATACTCTGTCCCAGGGACACATTAGGGTTAGGGCTAGAGTCAGGGTCAAAGTCAAGGGTTAGTGCATCCTCCACTCTGAGGCTCACAGATTAGGAAGCGGTCACCATGGCTAAAAGTGGAGCTCAAATAATTTACAGTCTCTCTTTTGACTCGTTCAGAGCTTGTTTCTTTTCTCCGCTCAGCAGTCACAAAGCAGAATGCCACTTGTCTTCTCTCCTCCCCTTCACCTCCCCTCCCTGTACCTTTGCATTAGAGGACGGTGGTGAACATACAGATGGCGCCTCTGAACAGTTCCGCCTTCAACTCTGCCTCCACAGAGATCTCAGCTCTGTAGGGATGGTCCTGCCTCTCTCGTGGTCCACCCCATGCCCTGTCCTCAAACAAAGAAGTCTGGGTTGGGCATTTCAGGGCTGTAATATTTACTTTTAGAGACATCTGAACCTTGCTGAAGATCTAGAGAAGCATGCCTAGGCTCTGTGACCCCTCACACTGGCTGAAGTTTCTAAGTTTTATAAAAGGTGGAGATAATGCTTTAGTCCTTCATAATGTTTTTGCTGGGTTTCAGGAAGGGAATATATGATAAATTCCTCTATTCTCTCATCTTTTTACCATAAATTCCTTTACACTGATTCTCATTTCCTTTCAGAAATGCTCCATCCTGGAAGATTACTAAGCTGCTTGGTATTTTGAGTGCTAACTGGCTTTGAAGATTTTGCAGTTAGGTCTTATATTGGAGCCATGGACTGCTTTATTTTACTCTGAAGTTTACCCCCTCTACTGACATTTTAAACTCTCTTTTTTTATAGGGGCTAAATAAGTGGCAAGTGTGTGTGTGTGTGTGTGTGTGTGTGTGTGTGTATTTCTCTTGCCTTCCCTAACCTCCATGTGCTTCTGTCATGTCGCACTGGTCATAGCAATGATTAGAATACATTCAGTAAAGGGACTAAACCAAACACAACTACATAAATAACTTGTTGGAAAATGGCTCCCAAATGTCCAATTTAGAATATCCCCAATGTAGCAGGTTTGAGGGGTTGAGATGCTTTCGCTAATTTTAAGTGTCAGAGGACTGGCACAGCTACGGAAAGGAACATTCACTTACAGGATCAACGGTGTCTTCAAGGCTGGAATTTCAAGTTGGTACCCTCTGAGTGCAACAAGGAAGACAGAAGAAAGAAGAAAAATGTAGCAAGGACTGGGATGGAGTAGGGAAGGAAGAGAAAGGCAAGGGAATGACTTGCAGTAACCAGCGGTGGCTAGTGATCCCCAGGACATCAATGCCACAGACTGTGTGAACCTAATTTGTAAATTTCTAAGTGCTAATTAAATGTGTTATTAGAACACAAGGTCCTTGGCTTGTATTTCCCTGTGTCTTCTCTCCCATCTCCCCTATCCTTATACCAAGGACCTAGCTCTGGAGCTGGTAGGATTTGAATAATAAAGATGCCCCAGAACAGGGGTTGAGTTTCTTCCTGGGGCATCTGAGGCTACTGAGGACCAAGGACGTAGCAACAGTGATAATGATAATAACAACTAACACCTGTAAGTGACAGACAGGCTGGGGCACTTCTGAGAGCAGCCATGACTAAGGAGTCCAAGTGTGGACTTGTCACAAGTCCAAGTCAACCACCTGGGAAGACAGGATGCCAAACCTGGCAGAGGTCCAGCCAAGGAGTTGTCAGCTGCTCCCCAGCTGTAGGGGTCGGTGATAGGAACCAACCCCCTCTTGTCCCTAGACAGGGCTAGACTTACCCTGCCCATCACCAACAATTGACTGAATTCACTTTTTTTTTTCCAGGTTGGCTCAGGGTTGTTTTGTTTTGTTTTGTTTTGTTTGTTTATTTGTTTCTTTTGTTTTGGCCACTTGGCTTGCAGGATCTTAGTTCCCCAACCAGGGACTGAACCTGGGCCACCGCAGTGAAGGCACCAAGTTCTAACCACTGGACAGCCAGGGAATTCCCCAAGTTCACATTTTAATACTAGCAGATTCCACACACCATCTCCAAGCCTGGAGCATGAAACACCAGGTATAATCAATGTATTCCCTCAAGTTGCTTTCACATAGCTTTTCTTTAGGCTCTGGGGGTGAGACTCGAAAAGAGAAGCAGTGAGGATGGAAGGATGGGAGCCACGTTCTCAGATGCTCCTTGAGAACCTCTGAGGACCACCTGAGAATGTCATCCACAGATCTGAAACTTGGGGCTTGCCTGCCTCAAACAGAAACAAGCTAGATTTTTAAATTCAGGAGTCTGCATTTTAGATCGTTTCGATGTCTGGCAAAAACACAAGTGAAAACAAAATGAAACAAAGCCCCATTCATGTATTCAGCACCTGAGGTAAGAGGAAGGACAAACCTTAATAATGTGGAGCTTGGGTAAGAGGTTACAGTCGGCTAGCGTGAGTTCATCCCCATCCAGGAACTTCCTTCCAGAAACAGTAACCTCCTCGGTGCTGTAACCATCTATTTCATCAGGCAGAGGACTATTTAGATAATTATCTAGTTTCTTCAGGGCCTTTAAGAGGTTCCTTTCGTAAACTAAAACAGAAGGGCAAAAAATGACTAACGTGAGCCATGGGAGTTAGGGTCACCTCTCTCTAGATACCGAAGAAGGAGTTTGTCCCTTCCTTCCCAAGACATGGCCGGTGACATTGGAGACTTGGGAAAGAGAGAAGTGGATTTACGAGATCTGAATAAAGGACTCACTTCTCCCTGGAAAGTAACTCTGCCATCTACACGACACTGCTACTTCTAGAACTCATTCATTTCTTCAAAAATCTTTATGGAAATCACATAATGAAGTAAGCAGCAGTAGAAGTTTCATTCATACTGAGTCCCATGGTGCGGCAAGGAATCCCTGGGGGTGATTATTTTCCCCTAAAAATGTGGTTTTCTGGGCTCCCCACCTCTAGAAGAAGCACTCAATCTCTTGAAACCCACGTGTCAAGGTCAGAGGTACTTTTTCCTCATTTCTACGTACAGGTCCCTCCCCACTGTGAAACGAGTCAGAATTCCCAAGATCTCATAAGAAGCCACACTAGAGGTGGAGCGGAGGTCCAAGGAGAAAGCAGAAAACAGGAGATGGGAGGGACTCACTCTCGTTTGCATCCTTCTTGGTGTTTTTAATAAATGCTGAGAACTTGGCAAACACATCATTTCCAGCAGAGTTAGATTCAGCGTGTTGGGTCCCCAGCTTAGGGTACCTTGAAAAATTCAAAATGAGAGTATCACAGATCAACCACGTTTGAGTTAGGAGAATACGATGTGAGGCAGGGGGAGGAAGTGACATTCTCTGAGTGGATATAAACATGAAAACTGCCCCTTGAATGTTTGCCTAATCTTTCCACCTTCAAAGTTGAGAGCAACGCCGTCCAGGGGAAAAGCACTGGACGGACTGTTCTCACCCTGGAATGCGGGGCCCCACCTGGCCTTACTGGTCTAGTTCCCTCCCTCCTGAAATAGAGGTAATGGACTAGAAGGTTCCCTTCCAGGTCCAGCCCGCTGTGATGCTGCGTGCTAACACCCACTCCTTACCTTCCAGCAGAAGCGACCCACCCACGTGACATCGGCCTACTTCCTCCCCACTTCCTGCCGTCAACCCCTAATTGCCAAACTGCAGGTGTGGAGCAAAGAAATCCGAGCCACCTAAGCTCAGCGTTTCTAATCTCGCTGTGCTTTCTGTGGCACATCACAGGTACAACTCGGGAAGTAGATACCATGGCCAGAGAAAACCAACACACGGAATTGTCTGTGAACGGGGAGAAGTGACAAGCGAGTGGTGAACACGGGTTTTGATGAGGCCCACCTTGGGGGGGCTAACTTCTCCTCTAGGAACTCCTCGATCTTATTCACGTCCGTCTTGACCTCACCATCAAAAGTCATGAAAGGCGGGTTGGTGCCGGGAGCCAGGTTCTGCAGGTCCGCGGGTTTCCTGGGTGGGAGGGAAGGGCAGCGTTGGTAGCGCCACTGTTTGGACCATTTCCAAGGCTGAACTGTGTCCTCCCCGGTTTAAGAGAAACCACCCTTGAGAATTTCAAAGGCGATTGTGGGTTTACAAACTGTCCTACTGGTGAGGAAAGTGTGGCCCTTTATCTGGAGACGGAGGTGAAACGTTAACTCTCCCCAGTGTTATCAGCCAGGAGTGGTGCTCGGACAGGCTGATTTTTTTTTTTGTTTGTTTGTTTGTTTGTGGTACGCGGGCCTCTCACTGCTGTGGCCTCTCCCGTTGCGGAGCACAGGCTCTGGACGCGCAGGCTCAGCGGCCATGGCTCACGGGCCCAGCCGCTCCGCGGCACGTGGGATCTTCCCGGACCAGGGCACGAACCCGTGACCCCTGCATCGGCAGGCGGACTCTCAACCACTGCGCCACCAGGGAAGCCCTCGGACAGGCTTTTGAGAGGTTCACAGCTGACCGGTAACTGGCAGAGCAGGCTCTTCATGGCGCACCCTCAACCCCCACTCCTCCTGGATTACGTCTGATCCCGTTCTGTAATTACTGTGTGGCCCACAATACTCCCACTTCAATCCAGGGTCCTGACCTGGGGTGGATGTGCCTGCAATATCGCCCATGGGTCCTAGAAGTGTGTGTGTGCCTCTGTGTCTGTGTCTCTGTGTGCCTGCATGTGTGTCTGTTTGTATGCCTGTGTGTGTCTGTGTGTGTGTCTGTCTCTGTGTGTGTGTCTGTCTCTGTGTGTGTGTCTCCATCTGTGTGTGTGTGTGTGTGTGTGTATAGGGAATTAGGTACAGTTATTTCAATACTGCAGAAACCCTGTCGTACCTTTTCAAGTCCACCGTTGTCACATTAAATATAACGCCCTTTAGCCAGAGAATCATAAAGATACGCTGAGAAAATGGGCAATTTCCAATACTCTCACCATCACAACCAGCCTACAAATGGAAAAAGAAACCCTTATCAGAGCCAGTCTCACAGTTGTAAATGCCAGACTCTGCTATGCATGCGCACAAAATCATGATGAATTTTCGTTAATGGTGATGATACTGTAAATAGCCTTCTGAGGCCCCCTCCACCAGCCTCCAAGTGGGAGCTGGGGAGGGGAAGGGAGGACACACACGCACTCGCTGAGCATTTTCTGTTCTCCTTCCCACACCTCACCACTTCCTGCCACGCTGGGCCTCTGAATAGCAGTACACAGAGGCAAAGAGTGGCAAGAGGGAACCCCCTTTGCTACTAAAGGCAAAAAAGGAAAACATGCTCTTTCCCTCCCTCCATCTCTCGATCCTCTTTAGAAGGAACACACCTCTCTTTCCAGGATGATCATGCGTAAAAACAGACCAGCAGGTTCTCCCACGGAGACACCTTCCCCAGTATTCTCTACTATTTTCATCTCTAGAATGAAGGCTGGATTATACGAGTTCTTAGACCCCCGGACACTGTAAAAACTTTTAGGTCCCCTCATCCGTTGGGGAGCATTTGTACTTAGATGGTAGATTGTTGCACAGTAGACATTGAGGGTGGAAGGATAGGAAACAGTGCCTCCCTGATGACCTAAGCAGGTCACATCCACACACACATCCCTGAGACACAGGCACAGAAAATTACTGAACAGACATGCTCCCTCCTGTGGGCTCCTGGGAGAGGAGAAAGGCAGGCATTGGAGAAGAGAGGGGAGCCGAGGGGCTTCATCCTCCTGGGGGAGTTCCCACACGCTTCTTTTTCTTCCCATCTTTCTCCACCCCATGCGTCTCTGGCAAGGTTACAGTGATAACAAAATGCTGACGGAAAGACCAGGAGACTCAGCCAGACTCTGCGATGACAGAAACACAGCCATATTCAATCCAGGAAGTCCATTTCTGCCACATGCAGTTCAAGGAAAGTTGAGAGGAAAGCAGTGAATCTATAACCTGAATAACAGAAGGACACAAGGCAGAAAGTGAGCTGTGGTTTGGGAATTGAAGAAAGGAAAATGATGCCTTAAGAAAACTGGACAACTTAAAGAGAACTTCAGAGGTGGTTCTCTGGCATTAGGTTCCGAAGTCACCCGGAGAGGTTGTTAATAACAAGATGTCCTTATAAAAGAAGAGTATAAGAGACCCCAGACCCAATGTTAAAAAGACTTGATCAGCCTCTTCACAAAAGCCAAAATCCAAATGGCCATTAAGCACATGAAAACACTCTTAGTGTCACTAGCCAGTAGGGCAATGCACGTTACAACCACAAATAGATTCCACTACACACCTACCAGAATGGCTAAAGTGAAAAGATCGGACAATATCAAGTGCGGACAGGAATGCAGAGCAACTGAATTCCCGTCCATTGCCAGTGAGAGTGCAAACTGCTACAACTACTCTGGAAAACTGTTTGGCAATTATCAACCCAAGATAAATATGCACTTATGCTATGACACAGCTATTCCATTCCCAACAGAAATGAGTGCTTAGGAGCACAAAAAGCATTTATATGAATGTCCTTAGCAGCTTTAGTGTAATAACCAAAACCTGAAAACAACTCAGACACCATGAAGAGTAGGATGAATAAATAAATGATAGTACATTCATATGGTAGGACAAGACGCCACAGTGGAAAAAATTAGCTATTACTACAAGCCACAATGTGGATGAATCTCACATACGTAATGTGGAGGGAAAGAAACCAGACTCAAAAGAGTCCTGCATAATTCAACGCAGGTGAAGTTCAAACACAGGCAAACTTCTCTATGTGATGGGAATCAGAAGAGCAGTTGCCTTTGGAAGCTAGGTATTGTCTGGAAAGGCTGAGAGGGAGGCTTCTGGGTGGTGGCAACATTCTATAGCTTGAGCTGTGTGGTGGCTACATGGTGGGTATACTGAATTGACTAAGTCTTAGTTAAGGTTTGTTTCCTTTACTGCATGTTATATTTTAATACAAAAAAGAAGCAGAAATATTAATTTTAAAAATACAGAGTCAGATTCAGTGGGTCTTGCAGGGGGTCCAGGGATCTGAATTTTTAACAAGCTCCCCCAAGGTGACGTGATGCTTGTGGTCAGCGGTCTCAGCCCCACCTTGGACAAGAGGGAAGGCTGGCCCAGTGTTATGATCAATGCACAGGACAGAACGGTTCAAACCCCCCAGTTGGATGATCTGTTGATAAGAAGACTTGCAAGACCTCCTAGTTGATAAATACAGCTGCATAAGTGTAAAGATAAAGGGTGAACTTAATACACCTGAAGAGGCACCAACAGATTCAGATAAGTGACTTCAGAGACCCCTAAGCTCTGGGTACTTGCTTCACCCCCTCCAACCCCTCCAGCTCTCCCTCCCCCCCTAGTAGAGGGAAGGGCTGAGAATTCCCCCAGCTGGAGTCTGAAGTTGCTGGAGCTCGAGGGGTGGGGGAGGTGCATAGCTAGGACCCAAGCATCCAAGTAGTCGTAACAACTGCCCTGCAGGTGGCCCCCTGGCCACCTGGTCCCATAGCCTTATGGCCATTTTGAAGGCTACCCAGTCTCGTCCTCGGCTCTGTCCTGGAAAAAGAAACAGCGCAGAGCTGAGTTACATAAAAGTCCCAGCGGCTTGCTGCTGGGGATCCCTCCTAAATCATGGTGCCTTCTTAACCACTGTATGTTTGGGCGGAGTCATGCCAAAGAAGGGGGCCAAGGGGGGACACAAAGGCACATATTTTGGCCAGTCCTGACTTGTTCTGCAGCTTTTAAACCTCTTATTTTTATAGTAGTTACACTAAGCTCAGCGAAGTCTGAGATAAGTGCTTCAGAGTGGGGCAACTGTTCTCCTTCTGCCTTGTGTCTCTGACCTTGGAAATCCCGTAATAACTCACTCTGAATGCAGCAAGATCCCCGCTGAGCCCAGGCGTTCTTCACCGGGCTTCTTGATGAAACTCACCTTGACCAAGAACCCTGTGCCTGGGACAGCAGCATCTGGAGAATAATTACTCTGCACGGGTCTCTCTGCCTCACTCTGTCTCTTTCACGGTCTCAAACTCAAGCCAGTGTTTTCCCTTGAAATTGCTCTCGCCTTTTCCTGAATCCTGGCAGCTACTTCTTTAGGAGAAATAAAAAGGGGGTAGGAGCAATTCATATTTTAAAATATACCAATGGCCTGTGTCATCCACTCCATCAAAACTTAGCCTTCTTAACAGGCTCCTTCCCAGAACTGCAACTGGCACTTAACATGGGTGCCAGGAAGGTGGGACAACGGTCTGCACGGCCATAGCGCCCACAGCCCAGAAGATCGTGATAAAAGCCGTGATTGTACATTTCCCCCCGTGTGGCCTTCAAACAGAATTGTTCCAAGCCAGCGCAGCTGCTGGACTGAAGGCTGTTAGGCAGTTTAGAATTAGCCCGCTGCTACGACTGCCCATAAAACAGGATTTACATAACCAGTGTTGCCTCATCTTAAATTGCTCTAAAATAAATTTCTTTTCTGTCTCAGCCCGTGGTACATGTGGGGGTTACGGGAACATGGTGGGAGTGACTAGGACGCCTTGCTGCCTGATTGTATTACTTTAATGTGCTTCAGTGCTGGGATGTGCCAGCAAAAGACAAAGATATACCATCTCCACTGCCCATTATTGGGCAACAATGGGAGAGCATCGCTCTGGTCACAGTCATCACCAGACAAGATGATGGGGTAAACACATAGACATTAGGGGTGAATAACCGACACCGTTGCCATAATCGGGACGTTTTATCGTATGCAGTTTTATTTTCTGATGCTGATAATTCTCTCAGGCTAATTACACTCTGGGCTAAGATTTCTCAGCAGAGCTCTCAACCTACGGGGAAATTTTTTATGTATACATTTCTGATTAAAATCAAATTAGGCAGTTTAAGAGATCAGAGTGTCTTTTGCTTCCAGTGAAGACCCAGGCACTTGGATAACCTGGATTTGGAGGTCTGCCTTTCAAATGCAACTTTGTTGAGTGCCTACGACGACAGTCATTCTCAAAAGAAAAACACTGGTGCCTCTGACACGTTCTGAGAAAGTTCTGAGAAATTCCGTTCGCCACTGAGCCCAGCAGCAGCGTTCAAGAACGTTGGTAATTCTGCTGGGTCCCCCCTCACAGCCTGAGGTGTAAAGGTCCAAATGTCGCTACAAAGGTCAGCAGATTCTCTTCAGATCAGAGCCTCTCCCACCTACTCTTTGCACGCTCACTCCATTTAGAATCTGTGGGCAGCATTTTTTAAAATTTCCTCTCAGTGCTTTTGGTTTCCGCCAGACGACCTATCCAGGGCTGGTCTGTAGTTACATGGAAGGAGACCACCCACCACATCTTCCACTAAAATGACTCCCACTCACCACTCCCTTTGAGGGACCCGCCCACCCCACCCCACCCCCCGCTAGACCTGGCCAAGGGGTGATGACCCCCTCAAGATATTCCTGGTGGCTCCCTAGCACCCCTCCCTGACCTTCCCACCAGAACAGGTCATGCACCCACCACCTGATTCCCCACCTTCTTTCTGGTCCCTACCTTCTCTCTAGAAAATTCCATGAGGGCCTAAATGGTAAACACATTCTGAGAAGGAAGCATTTGTCCCTACTCTATGTAAATGTCATGAAAAAGCAATTTGCGGATGGAGGGAAGATAAAGGAAGAGGCAATAAATTGGAAATATTCTAATTGTCCCCTTTCTGAGAACTGGCTTTCAACCAAGGAGGTAGGATGTCCATCCTGTGTGTGGGGGAGTGTTCCTGTCCCTGCAGAAAAGCAGGAGGGATCTGGGGGCAAACAGCTAATTTGGCTGGCTCCTTCCCAGGGACCCAGAGAAAACTGGTGAGTAATAATGGGCCGTGTGTTTCCAATGATCTGGAGGGACTTGAGGCAGAATAAAATCAGTAGCTGATCTGAGGAGGCCAGAGTCAGAAGACAGTTTGACGTGGGAGGCCACGGGCAGCCACCAGAATCAGTCCTCCCCCAGGAAGAACAATGTGGTCCA